ACCACGAAATTCTCGTACTCCTTGGGTAGACTCGATAGTAGGATTATAGCTCGAAGCTCCTCGCCTATGTCAATTCCCACCGACGATAGCTGATCCAACACTTCGCTGAACGCATTTAAGTGACTGGAAACATTTTGGCCGTCCTCCATTTTTAAACTCAGCAACGTCTTGTAGAGCGATACTTTCCTGACTGGCCCACTCGGTCGATGTGTCTCCTTCAACTTTGTCCAAGCCTCAAACGATGTCTCACACGTTTTTATGTAACTCAGCTGCGAAGTTTTAACGCTGAGGGTAATCATGGCAAGAGCCTTACTGTCTCGGCTTGCCCAATTCAAATTTTCGCCAGCATCTTCCTTTAACTCGCCTGACGCCACGCCCCATAGCTCCGCGTGTACCAGTACGCTCCGCATCTGTATATGCCAAGAATCATAATTCTTTTCTTCCAGTTTGTCGATCTGGTATAGCGCACTCATGCTGAAACGTTTGTATGTAGCGATCCGATTCCAATTACACTGCTTGCACTCGCAATGCAAGAGCCTATTTCGCAACTTCTCGAAATTTCAAAAACTCGTGGCCCATACATGTGTATGTGTGTGAGCCCTGGGCCCATAACCTATTGGTGTTATATTTGCTTTAGTGGAAAATACACGTCCGGTAGGTTGAGTAAACAAGAAAAGGAATGAAGTTTTTATTCGATACTTCTGGAGACTGCATACTAAAACTATCGATACATATTATAGGATTAGAGATTACATTGTTCCAATAGTTTTAATACTATTAATAAATAAAAAATAAATAATAATAATAATATAAAATAGCTATATGTCAAAAATGATGCAAAAATATTAAAAGTAAAAGCCAAGTTATAATTTTTTTTTCTAAAAATTTATCGAAAATTTGATATATAGTCGTCCGATCTGTCCGTTCCGACATATATAGCAGTGAGAGTATAAAGCTAAGACTATAAGACTATATGCAAAGTTTCATTCAGATAGCTTTAAAACTGAGGGACTAGTTTGCGTAGAAATGGACAGACGGACGGACACAAATATATATATATATATATATACTTTATAGGGTCGGAAAGGTCTTCTTCACTGCGTTGCAAACTTCTGACTGAAATTAAAATACCCTGCAAGGGTATAAAAAGAAAGAATATGGCAAGCACAGGCTCTAATAAAATCGAACCGAAAGAACAAAAGAAACCGCTCAGTTGGCGAATATCGTAAATGATTTCTTTTGCTCTCTTTGGCACTTCCTACTTTTGATCAAAAAGAAAAAGCCAAATCTAAGGCAAACTAAAATTCCAAAGGCCACGACTTTAAGAAAACAAAATTTTTTCATCAATTAATTTAAAAGAAATAGCTAAACATGCCTCATTGTTCTTAAAAAACCTTTTATATATATTTATTGCACGTACCCATATTTTATAAGTTATACATTATAGACACTAGTCGTTAAGTAAAATATATTGCACATCGCTATTATACTGTACTGTTTTCTTCGATGTTGGTTTTAATCTGTCTGCTGTTTAATAATAATGTCGCTGTTGAGCACCGCTGACTTAAAAAAAAAATGTCATCTACCGAACAGGGTAAAAAAAAGGCCGGAGCACCGGCAGAAGTTGGTAATGCTGCGTTACCAAAGACCTTTACCGCTGTTCCACCACTAAAAACAATATTTGATTGACGGCTTGCCTCTGACCACGCATCGGAAGATGTACTTGCCCATATACTAAGCAAAAAAACAAGCCGAAAATGTGAAAGTGCAAAATTTTAATCTCATCGCTTAAGATAACTGTCTCCCTCGATCTTTTTGACATAATTTATTCTGGTGACTTCTGGCCTTAACACGCTGTAGTTAAAGAGTATGAAGAGAAAATAAAGAGAGTAAGACCTACATGGCCGTCACAAACCACATCGTCCACAGGTGTCACGGCACTGCCAAATAACTAAATATCTCCTTCCAACTTTCATATCAGAATACTTGAGGCTTACGCAGCTAGCTCTCGCAGTTGTACTCTGAAAGAACAGGAACACAAAATTAAACTTTGTGAAATTTCCACGAACCATTTCAAGTTTTCCATGATATTTGGGTGCTTCTGAATAAAAGTCCCATACAAAATTATTTTCCATCACCTACAGGTTCCGCGGTATACCTAAGAATATAAAAAACCGATGTTTGCCGACATTTTGAATTACGTGGCCTATATAATTGGACTTACCTTTATTATTTTCGGTAGGACACTCTCAATACATAACGGCACTACTATAGCTTTCCATTTACATCCCAGGTGATTCTGTTTACTGAAATCTGATTAAAGCCGAAGATTCTCTGCTCCGAAATGTTCCAAGGTAAGTACACAACTTATAGATTGGACCGTCTTTCCCAGCGAGGAGATGGAGTTTTAATTGCCGTTGATTCCAGCCTTATTTCCAAACTGGTTCAAATTTATGATCTCACAGGTATTGAATTTATCTGTGTATCATTTCTATGTAGTTTTATCTATAAAACCTGTTCTTACGTTCCTCCATCTGCTGAAGAGCCTATTTATTCGAAACACCTTTCGGCAATTCAGGCTGTTTCCAACATGTACAGAGACCAACTAATAACTTAGGAGACTTCAATATACCTGGAGCTCGTTGGTCATCACGTTGAAGCTTCCTGAAGACACTTACAATCCTACTTTCAAAGTGAGAATTAAAAAAAATATTACGTCAAGGCTTTAAAATAATTATAAACGTACCGGTTCTCTTACTGCTCTCTCTAGTTATCTTAGCACTCGGTCGAACTTTACCGTTCTCAACGCGTAGTGTTTTACAAATTATTTAACTCGCTGTGGGGTTAAATTCACGCAGGAACCGAACTTGTAACTTTGTTAACACTAAACGTAAACCCAATTTATATCCTTCCTATCTTTCATTTAATAACACTACAGCAAACTACTACAACACTACAGGCCATCGTCGATCTTTTTGCTGAGGTTTTTAATACTACTTATTCTTTCTCAAATAGCTTAAGGGGGGATATACGTGTAAACCAAAATTGTTTTGTCAAAAATGTTTTTTTTTTTTTTATTTAAAAAATAGGCGCATCAGAAACTTTAAACGTCTTTTTCTCAGTTTTAAATTTTTGCATTTTTACCTATGCTATGGGCACTATTCATAAAAAACTATGTAACATATCGGAGTGAATCAAAAATTATAATATTCAGCATGAAATTATCTTCTATTTGAACTTAAATGGGGGTAATACAAATGAGTATTACTATTTTTTAAGACCTTCAAAACAAAATGTAATTTTTTTTGTCTTAATTTCTATCTAGTTTTTTCGGTTCAAATAGAAGATAAAGGTGTAATGAATACACAAACATTTTGTTTACGGATTTTGGCCCCTGCAGTTTTTTTCCCGGTAGCCCAATTAACCTGGACACTTGTTCCACCGGAGGGACCCGAGGCAAGCGAAGGGGGAGATTCCCGCCTCTCCGCCCTTCCCCCCCACTTTTCACTTTTTTCCTCACACCACGCCACTTTCCCCGCGTTTCTTTCTGAAAGTAAGCACAGCTGATCCTAGTGTTGTTAAACGTCAGCAGAGCGAACTTATTACATCCGCGCTTAACAGCACAAACATTTTCAGTGTTGGAAAACGAGCGCGGTTAAGCATGGAGAGCGCCGCGACCATGATGGAGATCATCGAGAGGGTGCTCGGTGACTCCGCGAATGTGCGTACGTCGACGGAGGACGCGAAAGTGTTAGTTCTGGAAATACGAAACATCGACTCCATCACCCCGAAGAAAGAGGTCTGCGCCGCTATTGCCGGCCAATTAAATTTTGAGGTAGAACGGGTGAGAGTCCGGAGCATGCGCCGTGGCCGCTCAGAGACGCAGCCTGCCCGTCCCATTGGGTAATGCTGTCATGCAGCGTGGCGAAGTGCGAATCGGATGGTTAACCTGTAGGATCCGGAAAAGATCCGGTCCACCGAGGTACTTCAGGTGCCTGGAAACCGGGGACATTGCGATCCACTGCAAAAACCCGGTGGATAGGAGTACCTGCTGCATCAAATGCGGAGATTCGGGACAAGAGGAGCAAGATGTGCCAAGGAGCCATCATGTTTCTTTTGCAAGACGGCTGGTAGCAAGGAGCCTACAAAGTAGGAAACAGACGAGAATGGGCCACGGACCGTTCTGGCAAAGCGGCCCTGTGGCTATGCGGAGTGGTTGCCCAGCAGTTGCTCAACATTAAGGCGGCTGACGGCTTCGTCCGAGCGAATTCAAGAGGCCGCGCTGCTGGAAATTTCTTCCTAAACAAAGGCTCCTGGCAGACCTTCAGCAGGGCAGGCGCGGGTTCGGTCATTGACCTCACGTTCGCTAGTAGTGCGCTGGCCCGCCACGACCGTTGGAGGATTGGGGAAGTCTACACTGCCAGCGACCAGTGTAGTGCGACATCTCAATAGCCCCAAATGAAAACTGATGAAATTTTCACATGGCAACTTCACTTCAAGCTTAATGATAGCTCTCTGGAAAGAATAACTCTTATTGACGATTTGGGTTTTCGCTTAGACCCTAAACGTTCGTTCTCTGAAAATATTTCATGCATGGTTAATAAAGCCAGAAGCATGCTCGGTGTTATTAAGAGGTGGTTGAAGAGGTTCGATTCCCCTTATATAACGAAGACTCTTTTTACTTCGTTAGGACGCCCTATATTGGAATAAGGTTCATGCGTCTGGAGTCCTCAATTTGAAGTCCATATTTACTGTATTGAATCTGTACAAAAGAATTTTTTCCTTTCGCCCTCTGTGGGCTACCCTGGGATGCTGACGAAAGACTACCGTCTTATTCTTATAGACTTCTATTAATTAAATTACCCTCCCTAGCTAACCGTAAAACGATGCTTGGTGTCGTATTTCTTAACAACTTAATAAACGGTGATGTTGAGAGTTGGACTTTTGCAAATCATTTAAACATTAGGCTTGATACGGTAATTACCATATTATACACTTACCACATCTATAAGCTGCGATAGTTTTAATTTTATGCAAACTTTAAGAACATCCGTAGTATTAACCACTGGACGAACCAATTTGTTATAGTTGCTTAAAAGGTCATCATATAATCGTTTGGCATCTGGGTTTCCAGCCACTGCTCCATGCACCATTAGAGCTGATAAGATCCAAGCTCTCAAAGTTTCGCCTGAAGACGGCTTTCTTACAAATAATCGAATAATCTCAATTATGAACTTCATAACGATTTTTATTTTAAGGGAACATGAGTTATGTATAATGATAGAGCACGTATATATCTGGAAAAAATAACGTAAATTAATATTTAATACCTGTCATATTAAAAAAAAAAAATTATTTTTCCATCATAGTTACATTAAGTCATGATAGAATTATACAAGGTGGTCCCGTCGGAAAAAATAAGCCCTAGTTCGGCTATCAAAGTGTGTGTGAGCGGGTATAGCCTGAAAGTTTGAATGAAATAACTCAATGAATAAGCACGAGCTGTCAAAATAAGCCCTAAAACCCGAACAATAGGGCCCCGACGGGACTACCTTGTATAATTCTATCATGCATTAAGTAATGTTCCAATTAATTAAATTTGAAAGAATTTAGCATCTTCTAAAACAGATTCAGAAATATTCAAATTCAAACTCGCACTAAAGATACTTTTTTTATTATTTTGTAACATAACATAAAAAAGAAGGGAAGATAACATCGGCAAGCCGAAGTTTTAATACTCTTGAAATAAATAATTAAGAAATCGTGAAATCGACAGTAGTATGAAAATGTAAGTTTCTGGTTTTTTAATCGCTAATTAGGGTCTTAAATTAGATAAATAAGGGTTATCAGTCACTGTCACCACCTTGAAAGGGTTGGGTAACACATATGAATTAATTAATTGAAAATGTCATGAAAATCATGAGCACACTTGCAAACACGCAATGCATTGAAGAGATGCATTGGATGGATGAAAAGATCACCATCAGCCGACATTTTCAGTGTTAATAAGAAGGTTTACTTGTGTGTAATGCCTTTCCAATAAAGGACACTCTCCAGCGATTGCACACTAAAAATAGATGGATGAGAGAGGTCATAAACTGCATTCATCTTGTCGCAAAAAAAGGTATGTGGTCTTACACATTTACCGCTTGCATTTTTCTTCTACGATTGCAGCCCACAACATGAACAAAGGGGGAGTGATGTGGGAAAAGGTTCAGCCACGTCCTCATCAGTCTGTCCCCTGAATCAGAAAAGTAGGTCCACAATTCATTTATCTCAAAAACGGTATGTGCCTGCACTGAAGAACGAAGCGGAGCACGCAAATTTGGTCCCTTCTTCTTCACATAGTGGAACGCAAAAACAAATCATGAAAGATCATGTATAAAATTTGGATGGGTAAGTAAAAAGGTTCATCCATATAGTCGCCACCCAAGATAAGAAGGTCTGTTCCCGATCCGTTACTCTGAAAGCAAAAAACCAGGTCAAAATGCTGCTCACGTGAATTAGTATTGTGACGCCCCGGGCTGAAAGCCTTGATTTTTGTTATTACATACTACAGTGAAGTCGCGCTTTCCCGGGAGCTCCCTTGAGGTGGCTCTGTCCGAAAAAATATTATACGTGTATAATTTTTCAGTTAATAATGATTTTCTATTGGGTCGGAAATTCCTAATGGATACTAAGGCTAAGATTAATTATGAAATCTTTTTCATACTGTAACCTTAGGTTAAAAAACCTGTAAATTCATTTATGAGGAAAGGAAGGGCAAAACCGCATCTGCAAGATGCCTTGTATCAGCAGAGGTTAGGTTAGGTTAGATTAGACCGGACGGCCCTCGAGGGGCCACACATAGGCCAATAAGGCCCATAGCTATCCGGGGAAACTCCTGGATGGACCTAGAGACTGTTTATGCTGGTTTCGAGATCCTTGAATATCAGGGTGTTTTTCGCAAAGGCAAGGAGTTCACGTGGCTTCCTCCTGGAGGCATCTTCTAGCGATGCCAGAACTGGAGAGCCTATGTATCTCATTCTTGCCCTCGTTAGGGCCGGACATTTGCAAATGAGATGCTCCAAGGTTTCGATTGCCTCGGATTCATCACATTTCCGGCATTTGGCGTTATCGGTAATACCCAGCTTGACTGCATGTGCAGCAGACAGGCAGTGACCTGTAAGAATACCCACTAACATTCTGCAGTCCTTCCGCGGAAGATGCAGCACGTAGGTGAGTTTCTCGTTGTGCTCTTTGCACATGATTTTTGATATTCTGCAGGTTGCGGAATAACTCCTCCACCTACTTTTTGCGCTTGCGTCAGCCCGTCTCTCTAGCTCGCTTTGGAGCGTTCTTAAGGAGATAGGGACGTTTTCTGTTCTTTCACTCGCCAGTCCAACGCCTTCCTCTGCAAGTTCGTCCGCGGTTTCGTTACCGTCTATGCCTTGTTGGTTGGGAACCCAGTAGATCCTCACTGACTTAGTCGTGCTTAGGCTATCTAGTGACTCCCTGCTTGCCAGTAAATTTTTCGAACTGACCGCTGATGATTGCATGGATCTTATCGCCGCTTGACTGTCTACGAACAAATTGACCGCCTCATGTAGACGGTTTATGCTCTGCGCAAGCTCTGCTGCTTTCCTGAGGCCAATACTTCCGCTTATACGACAGCCTCATTTCAGGGTCTGAACAGTATATCCCCGCTCCAACTCCTCCTTCCACTTTGGAGCCGTCGGTGTATATATTGAGGTATTGGGCATGGTCCTGGCCTGACTTCCAGTCATTTGGTCCCATGAATACTGTTGTGTTTACATCCGGGCACGTTCTGGGTATCATGTAGTCAGATGTACTGCTCATGTTATCGACTAGTTTCCTGATGCAACCAGACGTTGTGCCGCCTTTCCTGCTGTCAGTTGCGCTTGGTTATCTAGGGGATATATACCGATTATGGTTTCGAATGCTTTGGTGGGGGTTGACATCAGCGGCCCTGATATGCAGAGCAGTGCCTGCCGCTGGGTTCTCTCCATAAGCTTATTATACGTTATCTTCTTCATTGCTTGCCACCACACTAGGACTCCATACAGCAGAGTCGGACGCACCACCGATATGTAGACCCAATGCATAAGAGCGGGTGAGAGGCCCCATGTGCTGCTAAGCATCTTCTTGGATGCATATAGCGCTATGGTGGCCTTTTTTACCCTCTCTACTACATTGGCCTTCCACGTCAGCTTGCTGTCAAGTACAATGCCGAGGTATTTGACTTGTGTTTTAGGGGTCAGCCTGGTGTTGTTAATTTTCGGGGGGATCCATTGCGGCACCTTGTATCTCTTGGTGAAGAGAATAAGGTCCGTCTTATCCGCATTGATATTGAGTCCTACCTTCTCCGCCCACTCACATATCCACTCACGTATCACATGTTGTTTCCATGATCGAGCTGAGGGTCGATGGACAGACTCCCGTGATAATTATGCTTATGTCATCCGCATAAGCGGTTATCTTTGGTGCTTTCCTCTCGAATCTCTTGATTAGGTCATCTACCACCAGATTCCATAGGAGGGGCGACAGAACCCCACCTTGCGGCGTACCTCTGTGCGCTCCTCTCACCATGGAAGCGGTGCCCCAATCTGATTGTACCCGCCGGCAACTTAGAAGATTTTTTATCCACAAGTTGATAGCGGGGGACGAGTTGGTCGCTTCTAGGCGATCCATTATTGCGTCCGTGCTAACGTTGTTGAATACTCCGGATATGTCCACGAACACTCCAAGTATGTACTGCCGTCTCCACTGATTTCCCCTTCGTGTAGGCGTGCTGGTTGGTCGCAGCTTTTCCAGCGTTTTAAGTAGGAATGAGGTGAGGCTTATCGGTCTGTAATCCTTGGGTCTCATGGATAGGGATATAGCCCGTGCTTATACAAGCGGTATATATTGTGTAGAGCCATGGAGTGATTACTTCCTTGGTCACCTGCAGCATGGCTGGGAATATTCCATCTGGTCCTGGTGCTTTTATCCTCGCAAAGGAGTCTATAGCCCAGTGGATTCTACCAGAGGATATTAAACCTTTTGGGAGATGCTCTACTCCAGTTGCTAGGTCCTGGTGCTTATTTGCATCGGGTACCTCAGTGCATCCTGGGAAATGCGCGTGCATTAGTGCTGTTAGGGCCTCTTCGCTGCCCTCAGTCCACTGTCCGTCGTCGCGTTTGAGCTGACTCTGTACGGTTGGCTGCTTCTATAGCAGCTCTCGGAGTCTAGCCGTTTCCGGGGCAGTCTCTATATTGGATCAGAAGTTTCTCCATGAGTTTCTCTGCGCCTTGTGTATTTCTTTCTTGTAGTCCCTAAGTAGGACTTTGTATTCCTCATTGATGATGTCATCTTTCGCCGTGTCGCGATAGTCTCCTTGAACTTTCCCCAGTTAGTATTCCGGGGGTTCCAGAAGACCGTATGTACTTATGATCTGAGAAGGATGGTCTCTCAAGGACTCTCCATTCTGATACCAAAGTGCCTTGTCCCCTTACAAGAGTAAGATCTAGCACGTTTGAGGAGGTGGGACCTACAAAGGTGTGTTCCTCCCCCAAATTAATGGACCGAATTATTCCGATCTCATTGAAAAACGAAGTCTTTGTTTATTTAAATGACCTGTTAATAGTTTCCGAGATATTTGAAAGACATGTGGAAGTGTTAAATGATATCTCGTTTGCGCTGTCTAAAGCCTGTTTAACTTTAAACTTAAACTTAAAAAGTCATTTCTGTGTAAAAGAAGTTAGTTATTTGGGTCATGTAGTAGGTAACGGAAAGCTATGGATGCAGATAAAATCACTGCCATTGTTAATTATCCAGCACCTCGTTCCGTCGATTCCTGGGAATGTCAGGATGGTATCAAAAATTCATCCGTAACTTTGCTACTATCGCTACTCCGTTAACAGATGCGTAAGTTCGAATGGACACAAGAAGCTGAGGATGCCTTCCAATTACTTAAAAACAAAATGTGCAAGGCTCCAGAACTTCACACTCCCAATTTCAATGAGCCCTTTTACCTGCATTGTGATGCAAGTCACACTGGAGTTGGGGCAGTGCTTATGCAAATTGATCCTGAAGGTAATGAGGTTTCTGTAGCGTACATGTCTCGCAAGCTTAATCGGTGCCAAAGGAATTACTCTGTTACCGAGAAAGAGTGCCTGGCAGCGGTGTTGAGTATTAAAAAATTTCGTGCTTATGTCGAAGGTCATGCTTTTCCCGTGATAGCTGACCATGCGACATTAAAATGGCTTATGTCACAATCTGACCTTAGTAGTCGAATAGCTAGATGGGCCTTAAAATT